TCAAACATTGACTTTTGTTACTCTTACTGCTATTGTTTTTTATCTTAAACTTAGACAAAATGTTGAAAATATTATGTATATTTATTAAATGCCCACTAATTCTTGTCCGTAACTCTTTTTGAGTGAAGAGGTTTTCTTTTTTTTAATAAATTAACGATTAACGACGCACTTACATGTGCTGATGTCGTCGTTTACATAATTACTGCCTATTTGAATGCGCAAGTCTTTCTTAATGAAACTGTTTTCAGAATTTAACTGTAGTTTCGTGTTTGATTCTTTCTTGCACCAGGGAAATGATAAAATTAGTAGTTTAAATTGTTGTAGTCAAAGTTTAGAAAAACGTATAAAAAATTCGTGCAGTTCGCAAAGATTCGACTAGTGATCACAAAAAGACTTCGGTTTTAACCAGCTTTAATTTTGTTGGTAGTTTAGAAACCACTAAGTTCAAGAAAAGCAGAACGTTGTACGTGCAAAAAAAGCTACAACCGAGCTTTTCCAAAGAATTAGAAGGTTTATACGAGGCAGAAAGGTTGTTTTTGAAGCACAAAAAGTGTAGCTTTTAAGATTTAAAAACATTCGAAAATGTTAGAAAGAAGCTGTTATAAGTTACAAGTAAAAATACACAGTACGCAAATTATATAAGTAATTATAATCTAAATGTGTCGAGCTAAGAGGAAGGACTATGTAACCTAAAATGCTGAAAAAAAAAACGACTTTTGGAAAACAACAGTCAAAGTTGCGGATGCGGTAGATAAGCCTTTCTGTCTAATAAAAAAAGATGTAAAAAATAAAAGAGAAAAAAATTTTTTTTATTTGAAAAGAGTACTTTATCAAAATGTACGCGAATATACGTTTAAAGTCAGCGCTGGTTAAGTTTTCTGGAACCCTTTTGACGTAAAAATTTTTCCAAAAGTTTCACTTTATCTGCTCGGTGCAGAAATATAAAGTTTAATTTGAAATACATTTAAAAGAAAATGTTTATTGTAGTAGTAGGTATTTATCAAGTGATTCCCAAATGTGTATAAGGAGTATTTAACTAAACTCTTACTTTTAAAGATTGATTATGTTCAAATACCAGAATTTGAGACTCAGCTTGAGAAAGCGTTGTGAAACGATGTTAATCCCTCGTAGCTATCTAAAAATTTTTCACGAGTTTCATTGGAGACAGAGTTCATAAGGTTGTTAAAAAAAAATTAGGAAAGTCTGACAAAACTGTCAATCAACAAAAGAAGAAAACATTTTTTTAATTTATTTTTTTTATAATAATCAGTCAAAGATGAGCCGCTTAGAATTGAAAAAAAATGGTAAAACGGGTCAAATTAAAACAAAAAAGTTGATAAAGTCAGGCTAGAAAAATAGATTTCGCAAACTTGAAATTGTCATAAGAATTTTTTTTAGTTGCTTGACATAAGGCAACTACTAAATTCTTATTTCTGCTCTGATCTGAATTTTTGGTCTTTTGATTCTCCTAATCTTTTGAAGGACTTTTTCTACACATCCGGTCATAGACAATTACAATCAATCTTGAGATATTAGTGTTTCTGTTTGTTTTTATTGCATATTTATTAAATGCATGAGAGTCTCGAACATTTTGGAAACAAGTTATGTGATCTTGAAACGTTCTTCCTTGAAAACTTCACAAAATTGTCTGTGTATTTCGATTATAGCAAAGATTCTTGTAATTAATTGATATAACTTAAGAGCTATGCACTTCAAAAACTGAAAATATATTCTTGATGTATTTTCTGTGACGCCACTGTTGTCTGTCCTGGCCTTCTAGTACCTTTTTTCATCACTGATTCCTTCGCTTCTTAATAACAGAAACTGCTTAACAGTTGCTGTCTGCTGGTTACAGAATAGAACTGTCCAGTTCGTGGCACGTTCAACGCGTCACAGGTTATCTGTTTCTTTTAACGTTTTGTGAGTGATTTGAATATTTCTTGATTTTAATTTTTTTAGCAAATGAAGCTTTTTATATTACCTGTGGACTGCTTGTTAAAAAACTAAAAAAACAAGAAACTGAAGTTTAGTGATATCAGGAATCTATTAAGATTTGGAATTATATTACTTTGCCTTCTTACTCGTATTCTTCCAACTTTCTGCTTTTTTATTACTTTTATTATGTTTGTATTCACGTTACTTAAATCTGTCTGATTTAAATTTTTATATCAAAAAAATTTTTTGTAGTTAATTTTTGTTCTTGCCTCTTGCTTTGTTTGTAGATGTTAATTAATTATTCAAAGCAAAGCGTGTTTTGTTTTTGACTATCAGAGAAGATTCTAAGTGCTGGCAAAACCGTTTGACAAGTCAGCGACAACCTTTAGGTCTCAAATGATTATACGTAAAAAGTAATTTTTTGCTTCTAACTGTTGAAGGTATCTTGTGTTTTTTAAGAGGAAAAATAACAAATCTGGACTAAATAATTTGGTTACTGAATATCAAATAATTTTTTTAATCATATGCGCAAAATTAACAAGAGAAGTGCCACAAATGCATTATTTCCTACAAAAGCCAACCTTGCTTTTTCTATTGAACTGTAATCCTCTTTCACTGTCATTAAACTGATGCTAGTTTGAGGTTTCAATATTTTAAAACAGTATGTGTTAACCTCGATTTTTTCACAATTTTGTGTTCAAAATCTGTGCACTATTCTTCCCATAGAATATTAAAATACACGCACTTCCTCTTCTCCGCTTTTATTCCACTAACTTTTACTTTGGTATTCGTTACCACTCTCCTTAATGATTATAAGCTATACTCATTAAGGCTTAAAACCTTCGTGTTATACAAAATTCTCTAAACCAGGATTGAGTTAAGTCCAGTCGGTTCTAAGAAAAGCAAAATAATCAAAAAGTAGAGACATAAAAGTACAATTGAATGTTTTTAACAATAGTCATTCTAATTTATGACTTATGCTTCTTGATTTTATCAT